CTATCCCTATGGCGTGATGCAGTGTTTTATAAGGTTGAGCTTATTTTGCTCTTAATGATTCTATAGCCTTAAGGTGGTCTATTTGAGATAGACTTGATGGAATCACCTACGTGAATGTAAAGGTGTGGTCGCCTTTTATGAAAGACTTAGGTCGTCTTTCTAGAGCACTCATGAGACCCAATGTGTGTGTGCATGACCATAAAAGCACTTTGTTTGTATCACGGAGGTTGCTTAAAATTTAAGATATGGTATGTGTTATGAGGGTCTCAATTCATATCTGCTCAGTTCAAGAGTACTTCACTTTGTGGGTATTAAGTTGTTGCCTCATATCACTACGTGCCAATTCAAATCGAAAGATATTGACACTTAAGTACATGTTCCTCCCTTTTGTCCAAATTTTTTTCTTACCCTTTGTCTTTGCATTAGTGGGGGATTGTTGAGTTAATTCTATTGTTGAGTTAATTATTCTAACCTTATTAACTAAATGTAATGCAAAGAGACAAATGCAAAATACATTTTAAAGGAGAAGATACATCCGTTCCAAAAACAAAAGTGATGTAATGGCCTTTAATGCCATTAACCTTGATAATACGTTTCTAAAAATTAAACTCTCCTATTTTCAACTCCCTCTCTTGCAATTCTATATAAGAAGTGGCTTTGGTGAACAAAAAAATATCACTACCAACACAAACAAAAAGAAGAGAAAAACATTTCCCTCTTTTTTTCTTATCTTATTCTTAGAATATTTTTTGGGCAATTGGTTTTGGCAACCTCCAAACTTTCAACCACGAGTGCACGTGTTTGAGAGTAACTGTGGAACCTTGGGGAGCGAGCGGCTATAACAATTTGCACTGAAATCGAGCCAAAATCGCTTTCAAGACAGTGACTTGCCACGACAAAGTGTTTGTGATAGGTTATTTATTACTTTATAATTCCAATTTAATATCAATATTGTAGTATTTTTCCCAACATTTTTAAGGTTTAAATGGTCATTCGTTGAAAAGTATATTTGAAACTATTGTAATGATATGAACCTTTGTGACTGACACCAACACCAACCTCCAAGTAGTGAACCAAACCTTAGCATTTAACTCATGTAATCTTTAAGTATCTAAACAAAAATATAGAAGTATGACAGAATAATCAAGTTCTCAAAGATAAATAAATAAAATATTAGTAGAAGTCAAGACTATTACAATCCTAAAATCTGAAAGTAATCACACTAAAATTCCTACTAAAACTATCTAAGAGAAGCAATAAACAAATAATAAGTGTCTTAATTTTAAACTGGTCTCTTTTTTCGTGTTGGGCCGTGCTTGACGAGCTTTCCACCATATGTTTTAAAGGGAAAATTGTATATAATAAACAAACTGCTAATTCAAATTAAATGCTATAAATATACTTTGATTTAATTGTACCCTATAACAAACTATTGCTATTTTCGCCACTCTCCCTGGTGGAATCTCGCTAGCCATTCTCGTTTGGTGGCAGTCTCGCTCGCCTCTCTCGCTTTTATACAAACACAAATGTATAAAATGTGTTTGTGTTTGTATAAAG